ACCGCAATGTCTAGCTTCTTTGTGTGCCTTCACGCCATTTCGTCACCTCTTTCTCATTTGCACGTTCAGGGTTTCTTGGTTGTGTGCTCGTGTGATGTTTATAAACAACACGGTTCATATTTGAGAGGTTTTCTGAGATTTCTACCGCCCTTTCGTTCGCCCATGACCCAATTACCACAAAGCTTTTGACCTTTGAATCCTACCACCCACAATTTCCGATCGAGGGCTTGGGTGCTTTAAGACGGTGGCACGACGAATCAGTTGTTTGTTTTGGTTCAATATGTCTAGTAAAAGATAAGGTGTCTTTCAACAGGCGTTAGGCGCCTTTTCCAATCGAGATCGCCCTGCAAGCGTCCAAGCAAGGTCTACCGCCACCTTCGCAAAAATACGGGAACGCATTATATCCCGCCCAGACGATCACTGTGGACTACTTCCTTGAATGAACTTCAATTGGTTGAAATTGTCAACATTCTGTTTCAGCAAAAACGACAAAACCACTCGAGAAGGACAAGGATCTCCCCAGTGTGAGCTACAAATCTTCCTTTTTCCATCACTAGCTGTAACTGATGGGTTTATTGGCAATACGATACTAGGCCTGGGCTGAATAAAGACCCAGGCGCACGATTGCAAGCACCGAATTGAGCTTATTCACTTACCACCTTATTTGGAAGGAAAAGGACGTACGGTGATGGTTTGTATTCCTGCACCGACTTTCACTTAATATGACGACCTCACTGCCTCTTTTTCGTCTGAGATCTCGCCGCTCTAACAGCCACGCCTCTTGTCGCCTCCAGACATGAACTGTTTCCCACAGTATATCAACCATCCGCTACATACTCATCGGGATACCTGTCAAGAGGCTAACACGCTGACTCTGTGGGCAAAGTCATGCCTGTCATTCCAAACTAACCACTGCTACTATTCGCTGTCGTCTGAGGGTTAGATAGGAGGGGTTCACTAATAACAAAGGCTTGGCTTCGCTCATACATGAGCGTTCGAGTTATCTCTTGAACGCTTCAGAGAGCTTACCAATTTGAGTCCTTTG